GATCATATGTTCGTTCTCACAGGTAATTTTGTTCAGGGCCAGTTAAATAAAATGCCAGTTAAATATTTTGAGCTTTCACTCATAAGTGCATTTTCGTCGAGTTTATGGAATTACGGTTATTATTTCTCCGAAATGCATACAAGCGGCCTTCATTCGGTGCCGAAGGACGGGACTCTCTTATACTTTGCATGTTATATGCCCGATATTTTGAGCTTTCACGTATATGTGTGTCTTCGTCGAGTTCATGGAAGCACGGATATCATCTCTCTGAGACACATAAATGTGGCCCGTATGGTTTCATGTGTTCAACGCCTAACCGTTCGGATGGCTTCATGTTGAGCTCGATTAATTTTGGATTATTTTCTCTATTCGCACCGAACGAACACCATTAGACGCACAGTGGTGGCCACCACCGTGTCGAGTACACATTTTCTTTTCCTATTTCCTTTTTCTTTAGTTGTTTCTTGTGTGTTCTTGTGTTTGATTTCTTTTCGTGTGTTCGTTTATTGAGTTTTGTTTTGTTTTTCACATGAACTTGTGAGATTATGTGCTCGATCCTATGCTTTTTGGTCAAGCAATGAGGGCATTGCTTTGTTTTAAGTGTGGGGGAGGGATTTTCATGATTATGCATGTTCGGGTGATATTTATTTCGTTTTTGGTGCTTTATTTTTCGTTTTTGCCGTGCCTTGGACCGGTTTTGTCCCGTTTTTGCATGTTTGTGTCGCCTCTCCCGCATGAAGCTTGATGTTCGTTCGAGGGTCGAAATAGCTAAGTAGTTAGTCGAGATTGTTGATTGGTTTCACTATTAACGTTTATGCTTTATGTACTACGACGATATTAACACATTATGCAAATAAGACACTCTTATCACATCATGAGCTAACTAAACATTTGCTCCCGAAGGAGGCTTATCCAATCGGTGAAAATCGCCAAGCCCTTTGGCCGCGAGCGAGGCCGAAAAATGGGCAAGAAATTTTGATTCTCTATAGCCATGCTTGAGGACCACCTGCCACTGTCGACTCAAAAGGTCCTTTACCCCCTTCAAGACGCTCGTGTGTACTCCCCGACAAGTGTCACCATTCACCATTGCAATAATACTTTGATTATCGACCTCCACTACCACATTGCGCGCTCCAATATCTCATGCGAGTTTCAAGACATGAAATAAGCCCCAAAATTCGGCTCCAATGATTGAATAAAAATCAATATTCATTAAAAATCCACTCAACCATTTTCCCGTATGATCTCGAATAACACCGTCCGCCCGAGCCATACCTGTGTGGGGTACAAAACCTCCATCAGTGTTAACCTTTACCTGATCGACATCCGGCAGCGACTAAGCTATCCATCTCTGTTCGCGCATCCCAGCACCACCCATCGCCCTACCACCAAGCATTGCCGCCTTCATTTGGTTAACAAAGGAGAATACTTCTCCAACACGTTGCTCAAACGAACAGTCCTTTTCTTAAAAAAATTTCAAATTGCACCATCTCCACGTGCGCCAAGACGAAGCCCGAAAATGGATTCCCAATTCTCCAAAGTGGTCACCACTTTCCCAGCCAAATTCCGCCAGATCCACTCCTGCAAGGGTAGAGAAAAGAAACAAGGCCAGCAGCACTCCAGTGGTACCAATTTTTTCCAAGTGTCAGCCGCCACCTTACAATCTCTTGCCAAGTTTTAGAATCTAACACCTTGCAAAAAATCAGGGCATATAATATATATATTCAGTTATTACTCAACATTTAAAATCAGTTAACATCATTATATGTATATATATAAAGACAATTAGCAACACGCACATTAAAATATTAAAGTCCCTAATTAATATCATACATCCATCATACACCAAGAAATACAACGAGTGCCTGCCTTTCAATTAAAAAGAAAGAAATTGTGGGCCTTGTGAATACTCATGATCAGTATTTGCTTGTCATCACATGAAGTATTGTATTAATTTGGATCTCTAAAGCCCACTTCATTTTTTGAATATCACACCCAGCTAGGTTTTATGATGGACAAATTTTCGATGTGCAGGCAGGTCAACTAGTGAAAGTGTTGCCTTGTTACCTCTTTAATATATATATATCCCAATTTAATTTGGGTCCATGAAATTATTAATTGTGAAACCGTACAACTCAAAGATGAGAAGGCCGGCCCAATAAGCCTACTAATTAGTTACTTGTTGTCAACTTGTCATAGTATATATATATATATATGTAGCAGCTAGCTCATCATAAATCAGCTAGCTAGCTAGCTACAAGTTGATTGTATTATATAGATGCTTACAAAATGGAACAATTGACAGATATACAACAAGCACAAATGCACAATACAATTGAATTGACTCCCATAAGATTGATTAATTTCTGTTGAAGCCTAGTTATTTCCTACTTATGATGTGTGCCAATAAATAATAATAATAATAATAATAAAAACCAATTTTAAGTGCTGAGCTTTCACATTGAATTGATCTAACTCTATAATTTAGGGAATTGTAGATTCTTAAAGCTAGTAAAACCTCCATCGACCACCAGATTATGACCAGTCACGTATTTAGCCTCGTCTGAAGCCAAATACAGGGCGGCATTCCCCACATCCTCCTCCTCACAAACCGCACCTTTCAACTCCCCCAACCCCTTAACAATCCCCACAATCACATCTCTAGACACCCCCGGAATTAGCCGACCCAACTGGTCCACCACTAGCGGAGTGGGAATCGGGCAAGGCGAGATGCAATTTACTCGAACCCCATGCCTGCACACTTCGCTCGCCACTGACCTCACAATCCCGGGTATTGCGAATTTCGATACAGTGTAGGGATGCGGCCCGAGCCCACCCATGAGCCCGCTAATGCTAGCCGTGCACAATATGGAGCCCGAGCCCGCTGGTATCATCACCCGAGCCGCGTGTTTGACCCCGGCCATCACGCCACGCACGTTGGTCCTCATGACTCGGTCGAACTCGTCGAGGTCCAAGTCGGCAACACTTGGCGGGACCGCAGAGCCCGCGATGCCGGCATTGTTGAACATGATGTCGAGCTTCCCATGGTGGGCCACGGCGAAGCGGACGGCTTCCTCAACTTGGGCCTCCACGGTGACATCGCACGGGACGAACTGGGCTTCAGGCCCGAGCTCGCGGGAGACTTGTGGGCCCATTTCGGAATTGATGTCAGCGATGACGACTTGGGCGCCGTGTCGGATGAAGATTTGTGCGGTGGCCTTGCCGAGGCCGCTTGCGCCGCCGGTTATGAGGGCTACCTTGCCCTCAAGCCTGTATTAAACATATTATCATATATATAGTAGTCTAAGCAGGTCAAATAAAGTAAAACCAATAAATGAAAAATTAACTGTAATTGAAAAATAAAATACTTGAAGATTTGACCAAAGTAATTAAGTACAATATTATATTTAAAAGATGACATGACAATGATAATGATAATGATGAGGAGGTTAATTCATCAGAGTTGTTATTTGGATCGGAGGAAGATGATGATATTGATGTTGCAGCACAATATATATTAAAGGAAATTGCGCTCCCCAGAGCAGAGCGCGCGTTGACCCAAAATTATTGATGAATATTGGCTTCTGCACAATTATTGGAGCGAGTTATGAGGTTTGTTTCAAGGGCTGACGTTGGCATGGGATGTAGGGACGCGTAAAATTATTGTTGAAGTGGACAACAAGAGTATCCTTGAGATGGTGGAACATGATGTTTATGATGGGCCGCATGATAGTGTGGTGAAGGGGATTCGGGAGCTTTTGGGTCGCCCTTGGACAGTGTGGTTTGCCCATGACTATCGTGAGACTAATTTTGTGGCAGATTATTTGGCATCCTTAGCTGCTAAGGGGTGGTTTTCAGAGATTAGATTCCCCTCTGGTAGGGGCGGGGATCTAGTTACATCATGACGTGGTTGGCGTGTCTTATTCCAGGAAGGTCGTTGTTAGTTAGTGTAGGTTTTGCCTCTTTTTATTGTACCAAAAAAAAAACACATATTTATCTTAAAAAAATTAAAATTTTGGTCCACATAAAGCCAAAAAAGGTAGGCGGTCTGCATGCGTTGGCAAGAGTGACAACAAGAGAGAAATAAGTAAATAAAATAAAATAAAATAAAGGTAGG